TGTAAAGGTTGAATCTGCATCACAATGCTCTATAATTGATAGATGGTGTAAAGGTTGAATCTGTATCACAATGCTCCATAATTGATAGATGGTGTATAGGTTGGATCTAAATCACAATGCTCTATAATTGATAGATGGTGTATAAGTTGAAACTGTATCACAATGCTCTATAATTGATAGATGGCGTATAGGTTGAATCTGTATCACAATGCTCTATAATTGATAGATGGTGTATAAGTTGAAACTGTATCACAATGCTCTATAATTGAAAGATGGTGTATAGGTTGAATCTGTATTACAATGCTCTATAATTGATAGATGGTGTATGGGTTGAATATGTATCACAAAACTCTATGATTGATAGATGATGTATAGTTGAATCTGTTTACAATGCTCTATAATTGATATATGGCGTATATGTTGAATCTGTATCACAAAACTCTATGATTGATAGATGGTGTATGGGTTGAATATGTATCACAATGCTCTATAATTGATAGATAGTGTATAGGTTGAATCTGTATCGAAATGCACTATAATTGATAAATGGTGCAAAGGTTGAATCTGTATTACAATCAAAGGTTGAATCTGTATTACAATGCTCTATAATTGATAGATGGTCTACATGTTGAATATATTTTATAATGCTCTATAATTGATAGATGATGTATAGGTTGAATCTGTTTACAATGCTCTATAATTGATATATGGCGTATATGTTGAATCTGTATCACAAAACTCTATGATTGATAGATGGTGTATAGGTTGAATCTGTATCACAATGCTCTATGATTGATAGATGGCGTATAGGTTGAATCTGTATCACAATGCTCTATGATTGATAGATGGTGTATAGGTTGAATCTGTATCACAATGCTCTATGATTGATAGATGGTGTATAGGTTGAATCTGTATTACAATTATTGGCCTAAAGTTTATCTACAAGGATCAAGATATTTTCCTTACATAACGCTAGGCTACATGTTACCTCACAATTTATTTTTTATCAAGTACCAAACGTTGAAATTGTTAGGATTCCAATAATTGTAAACAACACTCGTGTGTCATACTCTAAAATGTATGATTTAATTTGTTAATGTTACGGTGTGATTACTTGATAATATTTGCATATGTTTTCATCACAATTTTGGAAGTAATAATGATAAAAAAACATATCGGGTTCTTTTTATTATGAAAAATAATGCTTAATTTTCTTGTATTTTATGTTTGAAACTTATAGCCCAAAATAAACAATCAATCAAATAGAACAAAAACAAATTGTACATTATTTTTGTAAAAAGGGAACCGATAATTATAGGTCTCGCTAACACGTCCAGAGTTATGTTGGAAATATACAGAAATGTTACAAAGTCACTACATTGTGATAATAAAAAGTTAAAATTTTGCATTCAAGATATACTGTTTTCAACTAATCCGAGCGTTATCGACAAATGATAAACTCATTACATGGAGGGTTATTGAAGTTCTTTGTGTCTCACTTATACTTCCAGTGGGATCTCGCATTAATACTTCCAGTGAAGAATAGGAAATATGGGTGCACCCCAGTTGTCCGAAACCCAGTTGTCCGAAACCCAGTTGTCCGAAACCCAGTTGTCCGAAACCCAGTTGTCCGAAACCCAGTTGTCCGAAACCCAGTTGTCCGAAGCCCAGTTTTCCGAAACCCAGTTGTCCGAAAAATTTAGTCATAAACATAAACATCCTGATGTATAGATCTCTCTCTCTCTCACTTTGAATTGCATCCATTACACGGCGTTACCAGAATGACAGGAACGGGGGATTTATTTTACATTGTGATTCTAAAAAAGGTCATCAAAACACAATATATATTACGAAACAGTTGATTTTATCTTATTCAATATATTTTATATAGGCAAAATAAAATTGAACATTTTGAAACCGATTTAAGAATAAACACTGTAAACATATTACGTTGTCAAAATGTTTCGTCGCATTTAATTTCTTAGTCTCTGTCTCTTATCAAATCGTAAAATGTAAAAGAACAAAACATTCTAAACGTAATCACTTGGGATTAACTGGAAACGAAGACAGGCTGTCCTCGTATCAAATTGGATGTTCTCCCATTCGCAAGAAGTTTCATTTTCGCCATGTACTCACTTCATCTTTTTGAATTTAATCTCTATTTCTCGAACAGAGTACCTAAATGAAGAATCATTTTTGGTTTCAAAAGATGTACACGTCAACTTTACTAAATAAATGCCCACTGGCTTGGGAAAACTATTTCCCTTTTATGAACGCCCATCACCCATTGGAAAAATGTTATTCCCTCTCAAAAAAATTTGGACGAAATCTTAACAATGGGTGGTACTGAACAACCAAAATCTTCTTTTTAGATATTTTTCAGGGTAGAAATATTATCAATTGATATTGGAAAACATAATTAACCATATTTTATTGAGGAAAGGGAATGAAAAAAATTATCAAATGAATACTATATAATTGACACGGACGTCCATACGTTATTCTAATGAGATAGATATTCCTTTCGCCAGAATATTCTCTTCGACTGTGATAATTGTCTAAAATGTTGGCGGCAGTCTTGAATTTTCACCAAGAAGGAGTGCGATTCGTGCTGGACAATGCGGTTCAAAATTTGTAGAATGTCCATATAAGTCTATGTGCCGAGAATCTAGTAAGAATATATATATGATCGTGAACTTTCGGACCCATTATTGACCGGGCTAACCGATGTCAACGTGATCCCAATGTTATGCTGTCCTGATTCGCGAGGTTGCGACAAGATTCGTTACTAAGAAATTTAATTTTTTAATTTTCGGAGAACTGGGTTTCGGAGAACTGGGTTTCGGAGAACTGGGTTTCGGAAAACTGGGTTTCGGACAACTGGGTTTCGGACAACTGGGTTTCGGACAACTGGGTTGACCCGTTTCGGACAACTGGGTTTCGGACAACTGGGTTTCGGACAACTGGGTTGACCCCAGGAAATATTACAAAGTCACCATTGTGACATAAAAAAAGTAAAACTCATTTAATCATATTATATCGCCAGCGTCGTTTCAAATGGCTTAACTATTATTGATTCCCACTAGATGTGAAGGTAAACATCAAATGATGTATCCATTCAGAGACATATAAAACATTATTTTTACTGTATAATGAAATATCTGATTTAAAAAAATAAAAGTTATCTTGGTATTCTTTCTAAAATTAAGCTGATCGCTCATAGCAGACAAATCTCCTGATTCCACCCAGTAGTACATGTGATGCAGACTTGCCAACCTCCCGTTTTTTTACGGGAATCTCCCGTAAATTTTTTGTTTTTCCGTAAAAAATACCAAACTCCCGTACCGTTTTGTCCCATAAAAACTCCCGTAAACTCCCGTACCGTATTTCTACTAAAATCTCCTGTAATTTTTTTTAAAAATATGGCCGTAAAATCTCCCGTATTTTTGCTGAAATCTCCCGTATTCTGGAGTAACTCCCGTAAAATCTCCCGTATGCTTGGTATAACTCCCGTAAAATCTCCCGTTTTCTGGTATAACTCCCGTAAAATCTCCCGTATTCTTGGTATAACTTCCGTAAAATCTCCGTTTTTTGCTGTCGAAATCTACCGTATTTAAAAGGAATTTGACAAATGTGTGACCTTGATTATTGCAGGCGTGCTTCTTTCTTTTACTCCAAGAAGGTTGGCTCCCATGGTTCACTATCGATACTTTCATAAATAACTTAAAAGTACTTCATTCCCATGATTCAAATTGCTTTTCTGCGATCAGTTCGGTATAAGTTTGCACAGCAAATGTCTGCAAACGGGGGCCAGTTCATATTCTGTCATACTTCTGTTGGGAGAATACATTTTGTTTTTATATGGCGCTAAACAAAATATTCCCGCAATATAAGGCGCATTATGGGTAGGGACTGCTGTGAAATAATGAACGTAAGTGACATCTATCTTAGATTATAAGTTCTAATTAATTTATTAACTGCACATGCGTCATAATTATTTCAACCAATTAAATCGCTGGATTTAATGCTCATAAATCTCCCGTTTTTTCAAAATGTAAAGTAAAAACTCCCGTTTTTTCAGAAATCTACCGTAAAAACTTACGTTTTTTCAAAATTTACCGTAAAAACACCCGTTTTTTCAGAAACCTACCGTAAGAACTCCCGTTTTTCCGAAATCTACCGTAAAAACTCCCGTTCTTTCAAAATCTACCTTAAAAACTCCCGTTATTTCAAAATCTAAAGTAAAAACTCCCTATTTTCAAAATCTACCGTAAAAACTCCAGTTTTTCCGAAATCTACCGTAAAAGCTCCCGTTTTTTCAGAAATCTACCGTAAAAACTCCCGTTTTTAAAAAATCTACCGCAAAAACTCCCGTTTTTTCAAAACCTACCGTAAAAACTCCCGTTTTTTCAGAAATCTAACGTAAAAACTCCAGTTTTTTCAGAAATCTACTGTAAAAACTCCCGTTTTTTTTAAAATCTACTGCAAAAACTCCCATTTTTCAAAACCTACCGTTAAAACTCCCTTTTTTTTAAGAACCTACCGCAAAAACTCCCGGTTTTTCTGAAATCTTCCGTAAAAAAGTCACGTTTTTTAAATTTACCGAGAAAAATACCTTTTTTAAAAAATCTCCCGTAAAAACTCCCGTTTTTTTCAAAATCTCCCGTAAAAACTCCCGTTTTTTTTCAAAATTTACCGCAAAAACTCCCGTTTTTTTAAATCTCCCGTAAAAACTACCGTTTTTTTCAAAAATCTCCCGTAAAAACTCCCGCTTTTTTTCAAAAAACTCCCGCAAAAACTACCGGATTTTGAAAAAAACTCCCGTAAAAGTACCGCAATTTTTTTAAATCTCCCGTAAATTTTTCATTTTAGGTTGGCAAGTCTGTGATGTATGTAAATATATTTTGCCGACTATGTGTCGAACTTCATAGTAATATGTTGACTTCATAATAATTTATTGTCTTTACAAATATTTACAAACACAAAAAAATATTAATATAATTTAGGTTCGCTCTTTATTTATCTTACAGAGGCGTGATACATGGACAACTCAGACTTTCAAATTGCACCTTATTGCTTGGATTCCATCTTGCATACTGTATCTAAGATCACGCTATCAAATTCTTTCAACAATTCTTCCATACTATTCAAAGTGAAAAGATTGGTTCTTTTCTTCTCTGGGTCATTTGGATACACCGCACCTATCTGAAATACAAATCACATTTTAAAATATAAATATATGTACAGGGTTGACCCTGATATGATGTTTAATATTTATAGACACATTAATATGGTCAAAGCTATTGTTCTTTGAACCCAGCAGGTGTATATTATCGTTCTCTCAATTCAACTGAATTGGTTTACATTATATGATACTATTACTAATTTATGAGCAACTATGCAATCTTGCATGTAAATGTGTTATATTATATAATCTATTGGTAATTTTATGTTACACTCTTAAAATACTTAGGAGATGTATTTACTCCTTCAAGTAGTGCCTATTTACATAACATTACTTAAATAAGTAAATACATTACAAAAGTAAATGGATGATTGCACGGAGTTATTGGTTGACTTTAGACGTTACTTCATTTTATGTTACAATGATACTTCAAACAAAATGCATTACTTAAATATGTTTCAATCAATTCAAAGTAATTCTAGTAATGTCTTAATACTTTTAAATTCATTGCTACATGTAAGTATATCAGAATATTACCTGAGCGAATGCAAATGTTATTTTACAGGTAACTGTTAAGTAATTGTTTCTGGATGTGCATTACTCTATTCAGTAATTATTATACCATCACTTATTATAAATCAATAAGCTTTATATTCATATTTGTGAATGAATCTATTTTTGTTATCAAAAATTCTATCAAACCCAATATTCATGTATGCTTCTTATTCAATTATTACAGAATCTCAAATTATCAAAGACGTAATCCAATAACTTAATTAATCTTCTTAAATCAAAAATTACTTCTTTATTCAAAGAAACTATAACAAAATCATTTAGTAATGTATGTATACAGAAGTGTTTCTTTTTTATTTGAAGCTGATTAACATATACATTATACACAGTAATACTTTATCTACTTGAAATCAATCTAATAAGAAAATACACCATTTTATATATATGTTTTATATATCATTTTGAAGCATTTTTATTCGCATTTCAATACAATTATTTTTCCTTGAAAAACGTCATGTGATCAAATTTTTAAAGTTAAATATTCCCCGACATCGTCAAATACGCTGTAATGTGTAACATTTTAGCCTTACACGGTTCGTTGAAATTTAGATAACTTATGAATTGATTATCAGAATCCCACTAAATTTTCACATTTTATTTAATGGAACATATCAATTTATGACGTAACAATTGCGTAATGGCTACAGTTCGGATTTTCTTATATGGACGTTTTTAAATTTTCTAAATTGTGTAAGGTTTTGAAGGCGAAGGAGACGAGCGATAAGTTTACCCTTATTTGACCTTCTAATTTAGGTCTGATTTGAAAAAAATTAACGGCACAATATTGTCCTGGCAAAATTTACAAAACAATAACCAGATTGTTGATTTTACAAATACTATTAAAATAAGAGCTAATTATCGAGACTTGAAAAAATGTAACGCATCGATTTTTTACCACAAATTCCATACATATCAAGTTTTACTAACGCCTAAAGTAAATTTCCTGACCATTTTTAAAAATTCAAAAACATTTTAGCAATATTGTCCTCGAGATCTTGTTACCCTGTGGATTTTATCATGATTGAATAAGGATAAAGTATTTTATTTTTAGATTGACAAAACTTGAAAAAATGTAACGCTCGTCGTTTTTGACATTATAAGGCTGTCTGCGCCCTATACTGCTCATTGTTTGGTTTTGGTATTTTGACGCCATAATGTTACGCCAGTTTCGTGCGATGTGTAATTACAAACTAGAAAACGGCAACTCCACGGAGTAGCAAATCCCAACGAAGACTATATATGGACCTGGATTTTTCAGAATGTACCATTTTCTCTAGCATTGATTAAATTAGCAGATATCAAAATCCATCAAATTGGCCTATCTTCCAGTGATAGACTTTCGAAAGATATTTTATTTTCCCAGCCTCACACCCGGTGATCGTGAAAATGGGACGGAGGGGGGGGGAGCAAGCAATTTCTGGTAGAAAAATGAACAAATCTGCAAAAATTATTTTTTCAAGAAAATGTTTATGATTTAATTGCTAAACGAATAGGCGCACGGTATGGTAAAATATGTCACGTATTCTACGAATTTTTTTTAGCCGATTCTCTTCTTAGGTATAAGATCTATTAAAAAGGCGCAACGCCACCAACGTGCAAAAGTCATCAAATTAATGACTTTTATGACAGTTACAAAATACGTTTCCATACGTTGTATAAAAAATAATCGAAAATAATTAAAATGGGACGGAGGGGGGGAGGGGACGGAGGGGGGGGAGGGGACGGAGGGGGGAGCAAAATGTCTATACGACATGATAAGAGATGTTACTTCACTTTATATCCAAATTTTCCCATTTTCTCCTCAATTACAATGGGTTAGGAATTGATAACAAGTTGTATTCGTAGTTAGATTTATTTAGGATTATCAAAATCTTGGAGGAGAGCGTTTATCTTTTTATGTGTATAATAGTTTTTATTTTTTGGAAACTTATCATAAAAATGTAGACATTGCATCATATTTCTATTTGGACATGCAAGTTTTCGAGTAAGCAGTTACTAAAGTTGTTTCATTATTAACCTCGCTACCAGATATCTAGTATATGTTAATATTTTTGATTATGTTGGTCTTCAGCAGATGTAGAATTTAGACTAAATAATCTGCCAGGAAGTTTCCCAATTAGTGTACCCAATCATACCATGGGCACATCGCCTATTACGCCAAATACTGTACTGTACTTTGCATATATTTTCTCACATTAAGTGTAATATATGTATTTATTATGCAATATGCATCTCACATTTAGTGCAATATATGTATTTATTGTAACATTTGTCCTCGACCATATGCATTTTGCAATTCACATTTAGTGCAATATATGTATTTATTGTAACAGTTGTCTTCGACCATATGCATTTTGCAATTCACATTTAGTGCAATATATGTATTTATTGTAACAGTTGTCTTCGACCATATGCATTTTGCAATTCACATTTAGTGCAATATATGTATTTATTGTAATATTTGACCAAATGGGTGACACTCAGATATAAATGTATAATGTGTCTCATAAGTCGACACCGGCTGGTGATGTTACCAAATGTAAACATTTATAGATAAACAGTCTCCTGGAATATTTTGCCAACCTTAATTTGACCCCTCTAACTAAACCTAACAAGTACAACATGTTATCAATTCCTGACCCTTTGTAATTGAGGAGATAATGGGAAAATCTAGACATAAAGTATCAAGTAACATCTCATATCATATCTTATAGACATATTGCTCCCCCCCCTCCCCCCCCCCTCCGTCCCATTTTAACTATTTTCGATTATTTTTTCTACAACGTATGGAAACATATTTTGTAAAGTCATTAAGGTCATTAATTTTATGATGATAATGTCACTTACAAATATTTATTGCAGGTTGTGTAGACCGTTGATGCTTGATTTAAAGCAAAAACATTGACTTTTGCACGTTGGTGGCGTTGCGCCTTTTTTAATAGATCTTATACCTAAGAAGAGAATCGGCTAAAAAAAATTCGTAGAATACGTGACATATTTTACCATACCGTGCGCCTATTCGTTGAGCAATTAAATCATAAACCTTTTCTTGAAAAAATAATTTTTGCAGATTTGTTCATTTTTCTACCAGAAATTGCTTGCTCCCCCTCCGTCCCATTTTCGCGATCACCGGGTGTGAGTCTATACACATTTCTTGGTCGAGTTTCCAAATAATCCTATAGGCCTACATGCAAATGGGGCATAATTTTAAGAAATGTTCTTACTATACATATAGCATCATCAAGATAAACTCAGTTCTAGTTATTTTTCTGTTAGAAAAAGTTCATAATCTAAAAGACATTTTTATCTGATGATTGCTTTATACCTTCATAACTGATTTGGTAATAAATTCTCACCATGCCTTCCCATTCTGCATTGGCAGCAGTTATCTTCTTCTTGGCAAATTCCCGCTCGTCATCATCGCCACTATTCAGATTTCTCTGGGCCTGAATATTAGGTAATCCTACTACTATCAAATCTATTTTCCCTGTTTTCAGTAGTTTAGCTTAAATAAATAGTTGAATAATTAAATATTACTCAAACCATGATCGATGTTAGATGGACAAGTTATGTTCAAATTATTGGATTGCTGATGCATTATGAAAATCACGGTAGTTTAATAAATATATGTATATTTGTGACCACATGCCTGAATATGTTAAACAATTGTCTGTGAAATAACAATTAAAGTTTAGAAAATATAAATACAATACAACTAAAAATAGGAAGGTTAGTATTAAAAGATACAAACAATTCATGAACAACTGTTCAAATGAGCAATTACTTATTCTGGAAAATAACCATGTAATAACAGTTGGTAGATAATATCATCGTCCTATAAATACCTGCTTTAATTGTAAAGTTTGAAAATTTATCTCGTGGACTACTTGAGGTCAGATAGGGACTTATGTTTGTCACACCATCTGTTATCATTATAATCAGGTCTAAGGCATCAGTCCTGTTTTTCTCCTTGTTCAGATATCTTATAGATTCTCGAGCTACTTTTAATGCTTTGTGACTGTAGGTTCCCTCTGCGGTGCTTGTAGAAATGTTTTCCAGTGCTATAAAAGTAAAATCTAATCTATAACAGTTCAACATATACACATACAAGTAAACGCAGAGAAAACATCAACCACGTTACCTTCTACTATGTCCTCAATATCTCTTTTTACGTCATTCCCTCGCAGATTAAATTCATGAAAAACTTTATAGTTGTATGACAGTGCTCCTATCCAGGTTTCTTTAGACTTCGCCATAATCTTTCTGCTCAGTTGTACCAAGAATTCTTTCACTTTTTCAATGTTATCTGGGCTGATGGACAATGAACGATCAAAGACGTAGATAAGGTCCAATGTAGGAACACGACACTCTGTAAAAATTACATTATATAATTATGAAGCATCCAATTGGTTAAAGAACCACTATATGTGGCCAAAGGTCCATGTGCAATATGGCAAGTGATTTTAGATAGTCACATCTTTCACCATGGGTATTTTCTGGCCATCAATACAGTTGTTTTTATTAAAACAATATGCTTTCTTTCAAGTGAAGTCCCCATGTTAGTAAAATATCAATCCAACTCTCTGAAAAATATAGATTAGGACCCCACCTTGGCACTTTTTTTTGAAAATGTTAAGGTCATTTTCTAAAAAAAGAGGATCTTGTTTTTCTCAATTTTAACATATCGAAAGTTTCTTCTACACTATATTAACATTTTCTGATAAGGAGATGCGTATTGAAATGCGTAAACGTTAAAAGCCACATATCCCATGTTATTTTCCCATAGGGAAAATTCGTGCTATCCATTGTTTTCAGCATAACTTTGGTCATCGAAAATTGATATCTTCAAAACTAGCCTTTCAATACCATTCTACTTTTGAAGAAGTTTTAGACCCCTCGATGAATAATCTTTTCATGCAATAAAACCAGAAAAAGAAGAACCTCTTTTGAGTAAATAGGTTCAACATTTTGAAAAAAAATGTTGACATTGGGTCCCTATTCAAAATTTTTCGAATTGTTCGATTGGTATTTTTATCATCATGGGTACTTCACTTGAAAGAAAACATATTGTTTTAATAAAAATAAAACAATGCAAGATCTCGAGGACATTATATCTAAAACGTTTTTGAATTTTGAGAAAAGGTCAAGAAGTCCACTCGGGGCGTTGGTAAAAATTGATACATGAATGTATGTACAATGTAATTTGTGGTAAAAAATCGATGCGTCACATTTTTTCAAGTCTCGAAAACCAGCTCTTATTTTAATATTATTTGCAAAATAAACAAACTGGTTATTGTTTTGTAAATTTTGCCATGACAATATTGTGCAGTTAATTTTTCTTTCAAATCAGACTTAAATTAGGTTAAATGAAGGTAAACTCATTGCTCGTCCCATTCGCCTTGAAAACCTTACAGAATTTTGAAAATTTTAAAAGTGTTCATATAAGATAATTTGAATTGTAGCCATTATGCTATTGTGATGTCATAAATGAACATTTTCATTGAATAAATTGTGAAATCTTAGGGGAAATATTGATCACTATTTCAAAAGTTATCCCAATTTCAACGAGCCCTGTAAGGTATGAGTACCGTAATCCAACACCAAATTCAAAAATTCATAACAATACTTTGCAAATATGGCGTTCGAGACCAACTATAAAACGCTAACCCCCATAGTGTTATATATCAAAATATACCTGTTCATATAGGGGTTCGATTGATCTACATCAAATATATATATATATAGGAAGTCAGGTTACTTTTTGAGATATCAGCGTCCATTTATTGTAACTCGCTTTTGCCACCACTTCCTCAATTCTGATATGACGGGCAAACGCGTAGTAAACATGCTCACGTCGGAACTATTTTTGACCTACATCGCTATTTTCGTAATTCAAATGAAAGTTGAACTCCTCCTCTTTATTTTGATACCAAATAGTGGTTACACTAGGTACCCTAGAAGCCAACTACAGCGTTATTTAGAACAACACCACAGGTTTTTAAATGGACTATATAGGGTCATACCTTTTGGCGGATGGATATGGAACCTCATACCGTAAGCGTAGAGTGTTACATCTTACAGCATATTTGACGATGTCGGGATATATATAGCTTTAAAAATATGTTTGATCCCATCAAAGTTTTGAAAGAAAAATAATTTCCCTGAAATGCGAATAAAAAATACTTCAAAATGATATATAAAACTTGAGCTTTTTAAATAAGGCAGAGATTAACGCTGAAAGCTGAGATCAGCCCGTATTTCACGAACTGTCCCCAGGTCCGCGCATGTCATAATTGTAATTGTTTTTTTTTGCAAATGCTTTACTATGATTTTTCTTCTCTGAAACAAAATAATCAAATAAAAAAATAAATAAAAAAAATATTTCCCAACGACTATCGAAATGGTAGAATGCTCGGTAAGCAGACATCAAAAGTATTTGTAATTAAAAATGGACACTCTTAAAAATGAATTACTTGAGTATTTCCCAAGTATTTCCCAAGTATAAAAATTACTTAAAGTTAAATACTTAGTTTTACTTCATTTTACTTAGGTTTAACTTATATTGTCATTTTGAGTTTTTTAATTGCTTAATTATGTAAATGAGTATTACAATTACTACAGTAAGTATTTCAATTTCTCTCCTTGCATTAGTAAATTCACCATAAATGAATTACTTAAAAATTACTTAAAAATTATTCAGTAGTTCAAGATTATTTAAGTAATTTTTGACTTAAAATGAGTAGTACAATTTCTCAATATAAGGAAATCCAAGTAATAATTTTTTAGAGTGGAGGACATTACTTCACAAGAAAAAGTATGCGCATACAGCATTTTCAAAATGAACCCACAACTGAAATGCATGTCAAGTGTCAACTAACATTGTCATGACGTTCACTGATGGCTAAATTGATAAGTACTATCCTTCCACTTGTAATAGAGACTGGTTGATATTCACAACCAAGCAAAACACCAATTCAAGAAAGACTTACCATGTTAGCAATTAAAACATAGTTGACGTTGAAGATTAGAAACATTTCATATTTGAATGCAACGCCTATGAAATCGAGAGATACCTTCATTTTAACACCACATATTGAGAGCATTAGTACACATCAATTCTATTATATAACAATCATAATGTATGATAATATTGAATCATTGAAAAGCATATTGAAAGCCCAAAAATATTGTTATGAAATTGCAAACTATTTGATCTATATTTTTAATATAAGAAAGAAACATTATGTATAATATTGATCATTAAATATTTCACGTGCATAGCTGTCAAGTGTCCCGCGAATGGCGGGATTATCCCGCGAATTTGATCAAAATTTGGCTAATTCGCGTGTCCAGCAATGTCCCGCAAATGTCGGCTTTAACCTCCGCGAATTTTCAAAATTGTAACAATCCCCGAGGTTAAATAATTGTGATTATCTTGTGATATAAGAAGCTAAGTTTTTGCGCTTTTGAGGAGTAAAGTTTACCTAATTTGAAAAGTGCTGCCAAACTCCCAGTGCATCAGATCATCGAAGACTGCTTTTGAAAAGAGCATAGTCCATTTATAAAACTGTGATTTTGATCCAAATAACACCATATAGTTGGCTTCTCAAGTACCTAGTATGCCGTTATTTGGTATCAAAATAAAGAGGAAGAGTGCAATTTTCATTTTAATTACGAAAATAGGGATGTATGTCACGTATGGTTCTAACGTTGGCCTTTTTACTACGCGTGTCACGGCCTTCATCTAAGAACTGAGCAAATGCTAGCAAACGCGAGTTCCAATAAATGAACACTGATATCTCGAAAAGAAACCTGACTCCCTATAATTTGATGTAGATTTATCGAACCCCAGTATGAATAGGTACATTTTAATAATGTAATACTATGGGGGGGTAAATGTTTCATAGTTGGTCACGAACACCATAAGTGCAAAGTATTGTTCTGAATTTTTGAATTTCGTGTTGGATTACGGTACTCACAACTAAAGCGTGGTTTTTTGATATAGGGTGGTCAAAAAATGGAATTTTCCTTATATCTTAGTCACTTTAAGAAATTAATCCCTGATATTTCACACATTTGTACATCATTACTTTTCTGCGACCCTATTTCATGACCATCGGACTGATAGACACAATTTTACAGCACTTAGAACAACATGCTTCAGATTTGGCCATTATCGAGCTGTAGGCAAAACAGCACAGTTGTCAATGGTCCAAATGCATTCCTCAGCAGGTTTGGCCTGAATGACACAAATGATCTCACTTTTGAGGTTTGCAATTGTCCTGAGGTCATTCTCATATACTCTATCTCTGCCATATCCCCATAGGTAGGGACATTTTAGACGATGAGTCAAGTTTCCTCACAACCCATAATGGCCACTGGGCATGTTCTTTAGAGTACTGTAACATTGTGACTATCAATCTGATGGTCGTGAAATAAAAATAGGCTGGAGGCAAATTGAATGATGTACAAAAGTGTAAAATATCAGGGAGTTATTTTTTAAAATGACAAAGATATGAGGAAAATGGTATTAGGGTTTCCATATTTTGACCACCCTGTAGTTTAATTATATTTCTATGCGTATTGTGTGGAATTGTGTTGACGTTTACTTAAGTTAAGTGCATTATATTTGATAAATCAGTATCTGAAAGTTTGATTTGAGAACTTTTACATTAAGCCCCAATCAAGCAAATCCCTTTCGAGAATGTCTTGGGACCGCAAATTTAGGTGTATGTCCCGCAAAATCCCGCGAATTTAGGGCACTTTGTCTAAAAAAATCTGTCCCTCTATGAAGTCTTTGGTAGTAACCCTGTTAACTGTCCCGCAATTAGCGTGTTTGTCCCTCGAATGGTCCCGCGAAGTCCCGCGAATTTGATCAAAAAATTTGACCTATTAGCGCAATCACGCAAATCCCTTAAATGTCCCGCGAAATCCCGCGAATTTAGGTGCATGTCCCGCGAAATCCCGCGAATTTTTGGCACTGGGTCTAAAAAATCTGTCCCGCGAGAAAATCTTTGGGGGTTGACAGTACTGATGTTTGTAAAGTGATGAGCAAATAATTGACAGGTTTAAACTTAGAATGGTCCCGTGACATGATTTCACGGGACCATTCGAGGGACAAACACCCTAATCGCGGGACAGTTAACAGGTTTACCAGCAAAAACTTCATAGAGGGACAGATTTTCTAGAAAAAGTGCCCTAAATTTGCGGGATTTCGCGGGACATTCAAGGGATTTGCGTGATTTGGACTAATGTAAAAGCGTGTAAAAGTACTTAAATCAAACTTTCAGATACTGATTAATCAAATATAATGCACCGTTACATTGTAACTTAAATAAACGTCAACATAACTTCACAAAATACGAATAGACATATTATTTCAATTGAAAGCCCATGGTATAGGGTTTCGATTAATCTACATCAAATTATAGGGAATGAGGTTACTTTTCTAGATAGGGTTTGTAGAAAAAACCGGGTACCGGGTAGTAAATCCTCAATGCTGGGTTCAAACTTGGTACCCGGTCGAAAAAACCGGGTACCCAAAAAACGAAATATACGAATATACAACATAATTAAATCATTAGAAAACGTGTAAGATTTGTTTTGAATTTACAAAAATGTATGTAACTTCCTTCAAAATTGAGATAGAAGCTTCAAATAAAAAGCATTTTAAGCCTCTTTTCTTCCTCTATCATCATGGTCATATTTCCATTGGTAATAAAGGGGGAGGGGGGGGGTGCGATCACACCATCACACCCTCACCTGGCTACGCCAATGACATTGTAAGACGATTTGAATAACAAGGCAAATCAATTTTACTCTATTTTCAATAGTTCGTATAGTGAATTGTTTTGATTATGATTTAAAATCTGTAAATTGCTATCGTTGCTTTAGCAGAGAGGTGACGTGTGTTAATTTACATGATGCAATGTGTAAGATTTTGATTATTAATCATAATTTAAGTTATCCCAACTGTCGACAAAATGTCCACTGAATTGTCCACTAAATTGTTATGTCTTACAATGTCATAGGCGTAGCCAGGAGAGGGTGCGATGGTGCGATCGCACCCCCCCCCCCATAACCGATGAAAATATGGTCATGATGATAGAGGAAGAAAAGAGCCTTAAAATATGCTTTTTATTTGAAGCTTCTAGCTCAATTTTGAAGGATGTTACACACATTTTTGTAAATTCAAAACAAATCTTACACATTTTTCTGATAATCTAATTATGTTATACTCGTATAGTCGTTTTGTTTTTGGGTAAGCTTACCCGTTTTTTGACCGGGTACCGGGTACCAAGTTTGAACCCAGCATGGAGGATTTACTACCCGGTTTTTTCTACAAACCCTTTCTAGATATCAGCGTCCATTTATTGTAACTCGCGTTTGCTAACATTTGCTCAGTTCTGAGATGAAGGCCACACGGATAGTAAAAAGGCCAACGTTGGAACTATTTGACCTACATCCCTATTGTCGTAATTAAAATGAAAGTTGAACCCTTCCACTTTATTTTGATACCAAACAACAGCATGCTAGGTACTTAAAATTAGGTAAACTTTACTCCTCAAAAGTGCAAAAACTTAGCTTCTTATATAAGATTAGATAATCACAATATAGGGGATTGCAACAATTTCGGAAATTGGCGGAGGTCGAAAGCCACATTTGCGGGACTTCGCGGGACATTGCGGGACACGCGAATTAGCCTAATTTTGATCGAATTCGCGGGATAATCCCGCCATTCGCGGGACACTTGACAGCTCTGAAACATTGACTCACCAGCCTGTAACTGTGGTCATGAAAATGAAACCCCTACTCATTTTTTCCTCAAATGCCCCCAATTTGTAAATGATAGAATCCAACTACTTATAGATCTCCATATTATTGGTTGTTTAGAAAAATTCTTAGATGCTAACTCTGTTAGCAAAGTAAATATGCTCTTGCATGGTAACAGTGAACTTGAAGATGAAGATAATACACTTCTGCTGAAAGCAACTTTAAAATTCCTACAAGCAACCAAGATTGACTAACATGTATATTACACCATCCCATAATTTTCACCACTGCACACCTTTTTTTGTAAAGCATCCCAATATCAGCTTTAATTGTACTTTTTCCTTTTTGTTTATATATGACTAGTTACGAATAATTGTAACAAATTTGTATTGCATATAAGTGTATGGTATATTTACTTCGAAGTTCAACACAAATGTTAAATTGATTAACCTTGTTGAATTTTCATTGTATGAAATTAAATGTTATAATATATGAACTTGAAATAAAAATGATTAATAAAAAACCTGTCATAAGAAAAACAGACCTTATATACATATATCCCAAAACAATGATCTAATACACCCCCCCCCAAAAAAAACAAAACAAAAAAAAACAAGAGTCAATATCACAATCCAGGACCAGAACACCAAGGGACATAAAAATATACAAATCCTAACTACATGGATATTGAGGCAAAATAACTCTTTGTTTTTTTAATATTTCTATCTGATTTATATTCTGCATTACTTAGTTACAGTACGTTCTCCTGTATTTAGTTTTCCCTAGTTTACAATAAACACCTAAAATATGAATGACTACATGGCTATGATTGGTACAAGGTCTGCTCAGTATATTATTTGTTGATATATAATTCCTTACATAATTCAACCGACAAGATACTTAAATATGTGACAAGCTTCAAAATGATTCAAAATGCAAACAAACTGCTTATGTCATAAAACGGTTACCTTTAACAGGCTTATCTTCGTTTTTACATTTCCTCAGTGCATTAACAAAATCGAGGTTGTAATCTTGGCTGAAGTCCATGCGAAGTGCCGTATTGTAGAGGGAATATTCATCATCACCCCTCCTATCATCATCATCTCCCCATTCGATAGAGTGGTAAAATTCAAATATACCGAAATCCACACCCTTCTTTCGTAAGTTTCCGATTGCGTTCTCTGTCTTTTTAAAAGTTACATCAATATTGGATTTCATATCAAATGAAATACCATCACTCATAACAACCACCAGTTTGCCCCTGTAAAAAATGGGGAAAAATAAAGTTTTGAAAGTAAAGACATCTAGATTCAATTTCAAAAGCAATTCGATTGTAAAAAGGTTGTTTAAAAATGCTACATTCTGTTTTTCTATATAGCAGTGGAAAGAATGGATTCTTTATGAATTTGAAGTAGTGAGAAATTGTGTGACACAAGATAAAAGCTCGACATATAATGTTCTTGTGTATCGAGATTAAGAAGATGTAAAGAATATATCAAATATCGGATATACGGATACTGATTACCAGATTTCGTTTATATCCAAGACCTTCTGAAATAAATGTCATACTTTTTACATGTGGGTCAATAGAATATGTTACATAAAAAACTGAAATATTGATTAAATAGCCTACCTTTTACCATCGACTGAAAAATATTTTTTTGAGTCAACAAGTGTAAGAGCATCTGCTGTTTTTGCTTTAAAATTGTTTGGACAATGATCACCTCTTGAAATTCCCTTCTCTAGAGAACTAAGGAACTTTGATGGGATTTGGGGTGATATCACCTCCTCGGCCACCTATAAACATGCATTATTAAATATTAGCCCACGATTAATATGTCATCTATACAATAACCGCTAGCGATATTCCCAATATTATTGAAATACGTCTGATATTTTCCAGAAAATTCTTTATGAAACGTATATGCGATTAATATCGTTTATATCACACGCATATCCGTGTTATAAACAAATTTGAGTTTCGCACCACAATACAGTAGACAAATAGGGAAGATAATTTATTCTGTTGAACTTACATTACGATTGTGTATGAAGTTTGAAGGATGCTGCTAAATAACGATTGAAATGGCATTTATTACGAACTATATTATGTAGAGAAAGTATTGCGAATTATTGAGCAGTGGCACAGCAGTTAAGATTGTTAATTAGGATATAATTAAAAACAAGTAAATGGTATAAAAACATAGCCAAGGTACCATTAATATCATATCCATTTAAGGTCTTGATCTGGTCCAGATATATAAAGTATCACTAAAAATTGAAATTGCCAAACATTAAATTATTAAACTGTTACATAATAACTCGAAATCGCTCATATAATAACATAGTATAACTCATTTTGAAAATTTGTTCTTTTGACTTTCACCAATATAAACTCACTAATATATTGAGTCAAGTTTTCTTCAACATTTACCAGGCTCTAAAGTGTGTTTTCCTCAGACACCAGGAGGCGTCCATGAGCTGTTCGGTGGCCTGACTTAAGTATTGAATTATTCCATACATAAGAACCATATTTGAAAAGATATAGGAAGATAAAGTAAAAGCGTGCAACAAATGTAACAGTAACGTTCACAATTATAAGAGAAAACGCAATAAGTTGGCTTTTTTAGACTGTTGTTTAACTAGGTCTGACAAAGATATATTCATTGTGTTTCTTAAAATGTCACATATGGATACTTAATGCATTGTACAATCATCATTTGATGCATAGAAAGAGTATGTCTATTACAAGAACAGAAAACCAGGAACTTGAACACAAAAACATAGTGACGACCTTAGCAAAATGTGGTTACCCTAATAGAAGGAGTCAATGACAACGAAAACCCTAAACCATCGAAATACGATACTTTAGATAAAGTAGGATTGATTAGTATGATTAATGAAAACACAGAATCTCGATGTTGGCTGATTTGAAGTTAGTATACTTTACGTCAAGGGGATAAGTGAGAGTTGGATGTTTTAGCAAAATCTTGTACACACTGTTTACAAGAAACATATGTGGTAATCATATACAAGTTAAATTGTCATGATACTTTAAGTTAGGATTAACGAACACGTTAGAAGCAGAAAAAACTAAGGAAGACAAATTCGCAACAGGCAATAAGTTCGTAGCTGATTTAGAGGAACACAAGTCACACATACATCTGTTTCAACACATCACAAGACATCAATCCCAGATTACTCAATAGATTAACAAGATGGGATAAAAAAACTATTTACATCAAACAGAATGACAATTTCAACAGTAACATTGGCTCTTTTGAATTCGATAATGTATGGAATCCATCATTTGAGTCTACCAGCTCCTGCACGCCACCTAGTGTCCATGAGACAAACCACAAAGTAGAGCCTGAGAAAGACACCTGAAAATTGCAGAAATGGTAGTTCAACAAATAAATAAGTGCGCATATATTGGTTGAAGATAGAATGTGTATTCAAACCCGGTTAAAGATAAAGAAATATGTATTCAGGATAAATCATACAAACCATAAGAAGTCATTTTTAAATAGCTCATTTCGTTCAAGCATTTATTTCAAAACCCAAGGACCCCAAGGACCCCAAGGGAACACTTTTATAATTTTCTTTTAGACCTTCATCATCATTATTTTTTCTGGGTTAACGAAGAGGAATTAGGTCAACATTCTAGTGTTTGAACTCACCTCATCAAATGTAATTAGAGTCATGGTTGAGTTTTTATCGGTAGACACTTGGTCAACGAAGCGACGGATGATTTGTGTAGCATCATCCACAATATCCCTGTCATATCGTGATACGAGGTTGCACGATGTTTGAAGAACAAACACCACATCTACACAATATGACTCTAAAGCAAAGATAAATTCAGTAATCATATTAATCTCGCCTCTTAGTACAAGACTGTTCAGTCAATAGGTGAGATGATGCATTAAAAACTTTTTTTTATAAACTGTAGCCTTAAAATGCATGTATGTTGTATTTATTTTGAGAAGTATGTAGTATACTACAATGATAGAAGTCAAATCAATACCCTGATTATCATATTATTAATATTATTAACATAAGAAATGCCAACTTGTATGGAGAATGAATCGGGTGAGTTTTTTCATGAACTTGTGTTTTTCAACTAAAAAATCAACAATTTTAAAATGTTTTATTGACTATATAGTATAAGATTTCTTCAAGATCCCACAAGATATTTTTCATTTACAAAGATAATCCATGGATTAACACACGCGTTTACGAAAAGACCGACCGCTGACCACCATTCACTCTCCACAGTTGGGTACACGTGGTCTACTGTTGGACATAAAGATGAATAGATGCAAAATCACGAGATGTCATCAACTAATTTGGATGATGTGGTTGAGGAGGTCATTTTTTAGGAAATGTCAATGTTTCACAAAATTTATTTTTTCAAGAGGCTCTATACCATAGGATAGCCCAATCAAGACCCATCTGGACCTTTTTGCATATTGAGCTTAACCACATATTCACCCATCTACTTATCAAAGAAGAAGTCTCAAATCACCCGCTTTCAATGTTAATTTTGCGATTATGCTGACCGATCTAATTATTTTCGCGGAAATTAATTCAATCTGAAGTTTAAATATACCGGGGAAATCCCCCTGTTATCTGATTGGTCGTTGAATTTGAATGTCATGAACCTGATTGGCCGCTTGGTTCAAGGCGCGTTTGGGCGCTTGTGTGACTCAACGGGGATTCCCCTCGCTAGCCGAAGAATCGATTGTGTTTAATTCTGGAGGTAGGTTGTTCTGTTGATTATTTCAATATTTCGGCAATTATATACCACATTAGGCTATCATTTATTTTACTTGTATGTTATCAGTGTCTATTGTTTTTCAATTCATATTTTTTCTCTCTCCTTTGACATGAAATGGGGATGTCATCATATTGATCTTCCAAAAATTTCCGGAAGTATCATAATGATTAACCTTGAGTCTAGTGATACTTTTTATTTATTTACTAAAATTTGCTTGGTCTATTTAAGCCTATGTTTCGAAAGGCGGACATTGATTTAGAATGGAAAATATATTTATGGGTACAGCTTTCATCATAATATGCTGTCTTTGTGGGGATTTCTAGTATACCAAATTCAAAAATGTATTATACTTCCCACCCGCTCAATCAGGGAAGCAATAAGTATTATTTGGTGTGTCAAGAGCCATCTTGTAGCCGTCTATTTTGAATTATTATGCACAAATGTGCATCTGCAAACTCACTTGTGATTGAAAATCACATCTACAATAATAAGAAATAATATCTCACCTTCTTTATCCCCAGATGCAATAAGAGGGGTCAAGGTAAATATTATCCAACCGAAAAACATATCCAGTATCTGTAATGTTAAGATTTTTAGTGATATGTTATTTGCATAAATACAGTTGTTTTTTATATAACAAGATGTTTTCTTTCAAGTGAAGTCCACATGATGATAAAAAATATCAATTGAAAAATTATGTATAGGGACCCCATGTCAACAATGCTTTCGAAATGTTGAACCTATGTACTCAAAAGAAGATCTTCTTTTTCTGATTTTCATTGCATGTTTTGATGACCAAAATTATGCTGAAAACAATGGATAGCATAAGTTTCGTCTGTGGTAACATAACCTACCGACATACAATACGTGGTTATAAATTTTAGCGCATTTCAAAATCTATTCCCTTTTCAGAAGTCGGTTTATATCGTGTTGATATGTTATTGAGACTTTTTAAAAAAAATAAGCCTTACAATTTTAAAAAGTGCCAAAGTGCCATAATTTTTCAGAAAGTTAGATTGATATTTTATCATGGGGACTTCATTTGCAAGGTATATTGTTTTGATAAAAAGCACTGTATAATGGCCGGAAAGTGGTACTAGTGGTGAAATATATGATCGTCTAAAATCACTTACAAAACATCATATGACCCTTTGTAATGATCAAACCATATGTGACAGGTTAGGTGTAACACCCTGTATGGACAAGGATAGTTACATGGTTCATGAGACAACCTGTACTTTTACACATATGTATGCATTTAAGTGAACCATGCTATTTTTAGAACCACACTTACTGGGTTAGATTTTCTATTCAGTATATAATAGGATAATTACATGTAAACCTTATTTTTGATTCTTTTATTTTGTAAGTTTGTGGCTGGTTTTATAACCCTGCATTAGCAGTGATTTCTATTTTTCAAACTGACCTCAGTCCACTGGCTGAGCTTCAACTGGAAACACCTCTGTGTATAGGTAAATACAATTTTGCATTTTTCCCAATTTATTCAGTCAAGTTGTACTTTTTACCAGTTTATCCTATACTATTATTATAGAAGAATGTCATTTTCTTTTTATATCATATTTTCTGGTAAGGTAATATTTCATATCCCTAGACTATAACTTTTGTAAACCAGTTTTGTAAAGTAGAATACGGGTCACGCCCAATTTTGTAATGCTTATATGGCTTACTTTTACAACTTACTTTTACTGTCCTTTTAATTGCAGACACACGGTTAAGTACTCATGTACACTTCACTCAGCCAGGGTCTCACTATACTTCAAAGTCCTAAGGACTATTTGTAAGTTTATATTATTTTTTGTGTCAGCCATTTTGTATTTTAAGGTGCAGCCATTTTGTAAAATGATTTTATATTTTCACCAGAGCTCGAATACACGTAATGTTATGTCATACTTTAATGGTTCTAATTATTATGTTGTATTGGTGAATATTATTAATTCTTTCATGTTTGTTCATTTGACAACATGGTACATTGCTGCACTTTTGTTACTTCTAATTTTAGTACTGGAGATTGGATGTTTTCTGACATTGAGGTTACAGTAGTCTCCATTGTTAGTCTCCATTAGACTAGTCATTAGGGTATGCATATCTCTTAAAATATATTATTGTATTATTTGTGTAAAGTACATGAAACTGTGTGTTTGGTTTAGTCTAAGGGAATCACATATGAAATGTGATAGTATTTGTATAATAATATTTGTATTTTATGGTCTCGACATTACGAAATATTGGTTCTTATTTTAAATGCATATGATTTTGTATAATTGCAGACTTCTACTTCTTGTTCTTCTTGTTGCCCGTTTACATCCTATGATACTTGGTGTTACAACTTAGACTGTAGTAGGAATAAAGATATCATATGACTGAACTTGTGTGTGTAGTGTAGTTTTATTGCCGTTACCCACGTGCCCCCCATTCGCCCAGCTCACACATACAAATTAATCTTTACTTTACGTTGAGTTGATAAACATTGTATTACTCTCATCCCTGACAATCCTCTGTCCATGTTACATTTTTTGATCAATCCATTCTAGTCATATATTTTTTACGTCAAGACTGCTTTTAATCTTATTCAAGAAGTGCCCAATGTGACAGGAACCAAGAAGTAGACTTACCATTTCTGATGTCCTGACCAATCCGCTTAGATAAGAAGAATGTTTGGAATTAGAGTTGTGGTGAATTTATATACAAGTGCTAGTAAGTAATGAATTGCAAATTTAGGGGTGCGTGTACATTAAAACAATAAGATGATGTTGAAATATTAATTGACTTGCTATTGATAGTATGAATAATTAAATAGGTGAAATATTAGTTTTCTGGATCATATCAACATTTAACGGAATAATCACATTTTCATGTTAATATGTACATTTAGAGTTATTCAAATACAATACATGTAAATATTATGATAAAATGCCTTAGTATTCTCCAGGAATGCTATAGCAATAACTGTTATTCAGTTTGTTGTCTGATTTTTTCAAAAGGCCTCTACTCTATTATTGATGATCATAAAAGGTTTGAGAAAAAGGCATTTGGTGCAGAGGAATGGCATTGGTTGCGTCTTTAATTAAGGCTAGAGATCTTTAAATATTTAATATAATCACACCCAATGATCGGAATGAGGGGATGCAGACAATTTCTGCAATCAAATCTAAGTAATCTTGAAAATTAAAATTATATACACACTATGCTAAATATGTTGTGATATAAACCAAAACAGCGCAAAGAGGTGTGTATTTATGATATATTTTCCTGTTATCTCAAAAGTTACCTGGAACTATACCATTGGATTACTATGGGTCAACATCCTCCAAGAGAAAATTCTAGAAATTAATGAAGATGTCAGCATTAAACAATTTGACAAAAATGAAAATACCTGGGTGTTAATCCATAAATATTTTTTGGTAAAAAAACATGAACAAAATGCATGAAAAACTCCGATGATTCATTTTACAAACAACTCGCGGCTTGATGTTGAGCAGGAAAGTGGTTTTCCTGGAATTTTGATGACAAGATTTGATCAACATGTATGTGGTGCCAACCTACACATCTGCCTGATCAACACAAGGCGGCAATATCACCTTTTCAAAGTGTGGTGATAAAAAGGTCGATGATATACATGTTAATTTCAACCCTGAATGGATGGTATTACCCTCTGCCCAACATCAATCAGAAAATGTAAAATGCACTCAAAATTACACCCGAGTCACATTTCCTACAGAGACCGTATGGTCTATTATTTCTGCAGTCAGTAACATTTCTACGCTCGCAGTGTAATTTCTGCGGTTGGATACTTTTGAAGTCACATATCCCATGGCAGCTGCACGGCAGATTTTAAATTTCTGTTGATAATCAATTAAAACAGTATGTTCAATTTTATTTCATGTTAGTTATAGTGCTAGGATAATAAAAACTGTAGAGTGAGACATTGCCCAATGGCTGATCTTATGTAATATGGGTAGCTGTGGTATCTGTTGTGAACACCATGCAGTAGGTATACTGTTTAATATAAGGTCACTGATATGACAGCAAACCTGATCTGAAACACTGTTTCAATTACATAACCCATCAAAACACTACGGCAGACGCAAATCGATGTAAGCACGACGCGCGGCAATCGTGGAACCGCTCTGCAGTCTGACAACAGCCTGTTGATTTTTACGGGGACAGCAGAAATTAAAAAGAGTACAACTCCAAGTTAGTTATAATTTCTACGACTACCCTGCGGCCTGCCAAAAACTAGATACGCAATACGGAGACTGCAAGGTGACCGTAGTTTTCCTACAATCGACGTACGGTCAAGGTACGACAAATGTGACTGGTGTGTAAGTAGCTTTTATTTCTCATGATGATTTTCAGATATGAAATCGCAACATGGATATTTTGAAAGATGGATGGATAGCCAAGATGAGGAATGTGTTGGTAAGGCCTTGGCGCGTGTAGTTTTCTTCAACTAACGGAGAAGAAGGAGCTCAGCTGAATGACAATATTTGTCAAGGCTGAGGTAGCCTTTCATAACACTGTATCAACTACTTATAAAATCAAATTAGATGATGCTGAATATGCATTATAATTCATATTCCCATTACTGGGGTATGATAAGGGCTTGTGCAAATGGGATTTTATTAGTTCACATACTTGGTAACACATTGTATTATGTTATCTTTTTATAATTATGTATTCAATTAAAAGCTAAATTGAATAGCAATATTACATCTAAGTGCCTCATAAATCTTTAAAGAACAATTTGTGCAGTTAAAAACAAACAAAAGGAGGAGTCATGACAATGAAGTGTTGAATTCATGGGAAGAATTCATTCTTAAGTAATATAAAATACATAATGGGTCCATAGGGTTTCTATGTTAGTAAGTAACTAAGTTTGTTGAAAATTTAATTAGTAAATCATATATTTAGTAACATACATAAAGGTAGAAAATTCGTCCTTACTCTATAACTAAATAACCTATTTACATACTGTACATGTTGATAAGAAATTTAAACAATTCAATTGCATTCCAAATAAGGGATATTGTCTTTTCAGATTACCACCTCACAGTTAAACCAGACTCATATTCTTCACTCTACTATACCTTGCAATTAATTGGTGTTCATGAGCAACCCATTTGGGTTATTAGTAGATGATTATGTTATTTGTTTTTATGTGTCTGTTCCTTCATGAATGGTTTATCGGATAGCTGTTAGGTGGTAATAAGGCACTTTCAAAAATATACTAAACAATTCAATTGGACAGAGTATCTTATGCATTTCTAGGGGTTATGTATAGTAGAGTAATTCTTGGTGTACTCGGGCACAGTGATGGTATATAATGATAATTGCTGATCAACAACACCAGGTTATAAAAATATGAATGAAATGTTTAAACAAACTTAGCTTAATTTCTTCCAATTTATACAAAATGCCATTTGTGGTTCAAACAATGATTCAGTTTGATAGAAAATTGAATTCAACTCAATGTGAGAGTTTCCCCATCCAGAGGATATTCATTAAGCTCGGCCAATTTTTAGTGCTTTTGATTAATAAATATAATGTGTCTATAACGTGGTTGTATGAGTTTGTAGCTCTTTTGATTATATTTTTGTTACAATACAAAAGCTGCTTTCCATGATGGTCTTCATACATTGATCTAATTGGGATTTTGTTGATACAGTTTTACTTTAAAATAGATAATAAGGCTACAGCTCACATTTGTGAACCATTTACTAAATGCTTTCTTTTGTAAAATTATATCAATCAAAAAATGTGTTCAACAATTTGGCTCAATTAGGTCCTAATTATACATAAAACAGATTACACATGTTATTATCCATATCAACAAAGATATCTAATGAATATTGAATCATATTATTTTTACTAATGGCATCGTAAAAATGAAAATTCACCGTCTGTTGCTCATTTCCAAAAGCCCTTATCTTTTGAGCTAATGTGAATGTCATCGTAACAATAACTGGTGCTAATGGAATGGTAAATAGAAAATGCGTTTGATAATTAATTAATTAATTACAACTCTACCAACAGATTACTCCAAGTCTTACAAAAACACATTACGAGTCATTTTACAGGAGAAATATATTTTGGGATATTTTACTCTGAAAATTTAGCTTTCATTTTATTGCCTTAATATGAGTGTATATTTGACAATGTATACTTAAAATATTTTTTTGCATAACTCCATGATAACAGGATTTCAGCATTCGACTCAATGTACTGTATATAAAATATATCATACATATGTTAATTGTATTGTCACAAAAAAAGTAAGACAGTTTTGCTCATAAATGTTAATTGTTGGAATTCTGAGACACCATTTAGTGATTTTTTTGTTTGAGACGGGAATGATGTAATTGTTCGATTTGTGAGACACCATTGTTAGGCCAATTTACGAAAACTGATTGATAGCGCTATTGTTTGGATTTACTTTAAAGGACACTCTGGTGCATGATTAAAGTGTAGAACTAAGGAGTATAATTAGTAGTGGTGAGTGCCATATTTTTCTGTAGCAATTAGAGCGCAATTTCTTGTAATTTTAACATGTAATTGTTAGTCGATATTTTTTGTGTTTTATGGAACATTAAAGTACATACATTTATAAAAAGTACAATTGTTTCTTAATGACTGTATATTATATTATGTCATGTATGTGGGGTAAGGAATATCCATCTAATCATGCATTCTAATCTAATAGTAAGGTTGTTTTGAGGGGTAATGGGCTAAGAGTTCAGGGACTCATGTGTTAGGGAGTAACTTTGCTCTGGTTATTGGGGGAACCCCTGAATTAGAATAGTTCAACCTATAGAATATATAAGGGATGTTTGCTCAAATATGGGGGGGGGGTCAAGAGTGCCTTAATGAGTAGCCCAGACGTTGTTATGGCAATATTACCCATAAGGCCACAGCAAATGCAGTAAACAAACGATCTCAGCCAATCAGAGGGTTTCCCGCTGCATATCATCAGACAGGAGAGATAGCATCGAATCTGGCCATATGTGCGCACTTGAGTTTGGAAGTTGAATTGACAAGACCTCGCGTTGGGTGGACAATAAAACTTGGTAAAGACATTTGTGAAGGATTTTACGGGAATATTTGGTTGGTGTGTGTTGAATAGGATATAAGTAGCAGTTGATAGAAGTGTAGTGTTAGGATTTACATACAGTATAAAGTATTTGGATTATATTTGTTGCGATTGTATGGACGAAGTGTTGGTGAGTTGTAATTTACTGTATAGACTTTGATCTCCAGAGAGTTTTTTTATTGTCTATTAACGTGGGATCTAATCTCCTTAGGGATTGACATTTCCAATTGTTATAGAGATTTACATCCTTTATAACTGAAATTTATGGTCCTGCTTTTGTCTTTGTGATCGCCATATTGGATCATACAGTTTTGAGTAGCCATTTTGTGACATCACCTTTCCGCCATCTTGGATTACTTCCGTGAGTTATTTAACTCTGGTCTAATCTCCTTAGGGATTGACATTCCCGAGTTTTATATCTCAGAGCATAAATACTCTAGAAGGTGTGTCCATTATTCCTTTCAGAGCAGAGATACTCCCAAAGAGGTATTCAACTCCGGTGTAATCTCCTTAGGGATTGACATTCCCGCGTTTCATATCT